CATTAAACTTTCAGGATCACTTCCTTTTAATGTTAGCTAGCTTGGCTCTCTTTGTATAGTGTGGGACCCTATCATTGATCTACACATTAGCCACATGGGTTCATCCTATCTTCTGTTACAAGGCCTGGCCAAATTCACTGTTAAATACAGTGAACCCCTAAGTCCATCACCATGGGCTCTTAATGGGCCCAACATTTACACTAAATGGTCCTTCGGTCTAGCCATCTTATCAAGGCCCAAGGACTGTGAGCAAATGCAAGATTAGCCCATCAGGTATAACCCTTAATGGTCTTACTCTTAACCTCTCAGCCCTTAATGATCAAACACTGCCCGGCAAGAGAGGACCTCTCCCTCGGCTGCAAGGAACAGTGCTGCACTCTCTACTCACATGGATCTCGGGAATTAAAACCTTTTTGCAAACAATTTGAAACCATAATATATAAGTATATCTCTATATAAATATATTTTGCAAAACCAAATTTCAAACACATTTGAAATCCAGTGCCGATAGTTTAGGTTTCCATCAGAGAGTGCATTTCTTCGATCATTCACTTTGTCCGACAAAGGGGCTGATCCTGTCACTATGATCACCAACTCAGATGAATTCTCGGACTGTCCCAACATACCTAGGTTTTGACCCCCTCTATGGATCTCATTGATTGGCACATCAAAGACATCCCAATCCGACACCTAGTGCACTACCATAATCGAGTCTAGGGGTCAGGTGTAACATTCCAGTTTTTCCCATATGTCTCCAAGGTCTAGGGCAATACTGGAATTTGGTCCGGTTCAGGGTTTCAAGAAAACCCACATTGCATGTACCTCAGGTCTCACCCTGGCAGCTGAGACAAGCCACCCCAACCAACTTGGTAGTACATCAGTGTTAGCCTTGGCAGAATAAATCTCCCCAGATCTATCCAACGGTTGTGAAGATTCTAAACTAACATGAGTCTCATATGTGTCTAGTTTAAGGGTATTACACAGAAACATACCACAATAACATGAATCAAATATGTACCTTATTTATTTACAATAAATGTCATAATGTACATTATGCTAATTGGAGCTAAGGGCATACACTGTCTAACATGAGAACATTTTAAAATAACACGAGTCTCATAAGTGTTCAGTTTAGGGGTAATTACACAGAAACATACTAAGTATAACATGAATCAATTATGTACTTTTATTCATTTACAATAAATGCATAATGTACATCAATCTGATTGGAGCTAAGGGCATACATTGTCTAACATCCTCCGCCTTTGTGAACTTGTCGGCCTGGTGGAGGAACTCCTCCATAGAAGATGGAGGGTTCAACTCTACTTCCCAGTACAAGCAGTGGTGGCGGATGCCGTTGACCGCTATATTGAGCTCAACTTCCAGATCGAGGTTTGGAATCTAGAAGCGCTCCATGTTGAACCTCTTGATGTAGTCTCAGAGTGTCTCATCTGGTCACTAGACCACGTTCAGTAGGCAGGTTGCTGATTTCAATACCTCTTGTTGGTGGCGAAGTGCATTGTGAAGAAATCTGCGAATTGGTTCCCATTCTTTATTGAGCCTGCGACCAGTCCTGAGTACCACATCCGACTTGTACCCCAGAAAGTCGTTGGGAAGGGTGAAGCTACATTATGGTCTGGAAACTATCGATGTGATCGACTGGATATGTTGGGAAGGGCTTTGAAGTCCTTTGGTCGTGGGGCCGTAAGGATCTTAGGTCCAAGAGGGGAGGTGCAGGTCACATGCGGTGCTGCTGGTTGGGCTGTGACCTGGCTTACCTCTCCTTTCCTGTCTGCCTCCTCGTTGTTAGTGGGAGAAAGGTAGCTTCTCCCAATGTTGTGGTGTGCACGTTGGAGACGCCTTCTCCTCGACACCTCAATCGAGCTATTGCCTCTAGTTCCAATTAGTGTTGTAGCTTGACTGTGCTCTTCAACTGAGACCTGGTTCCGATCGTCAACGTGACGAGGAGGGTCCAGAACCTGGTCTTGGTTCTGGTGGCCAGGCTGTTGGTTATCGGGCTGCTGGTTCTGTTGTCGTTGTTGTTGCTACTGAGGTTGTTGCACCTACACACTTGATTGGAAAATCAGTTTTTCTCTTACAAAACCCAGTTTTGAACTTGTCCCACATTGGAAATTTATAAGTTTTGTTTTCAGTATTTCAATAGGAGCTGATTTACACTCCTTAGAATTAGTAGAGGAGAGTATGGGGATTCGTTACCACGCAACGTGCGCGTGCGCGTGTGTGCGGCGCAATGAGGTGCTTTAGAGGCGCACTTTGCATGCACCCGTGTGGCTCGCGATGGCTGGCTTTGGTTTTGGTGTGTTGCTGACCGTTGATAAGATCAACGGTCACGATTCGATCGGGTGTGATCAAGAGGCACAATTCAAAGTTAACAGTCACTAACTATTAACTACTTTTTAAACAGTCACAATGTTTGAAATTGTGACTTTTCAAGGTGCCTTTTCCAATTCAGCACCTACCTTTTCTTCATACCTCTTCACAAATTATTTAAGGAACATGAATTAGACTCCAAAACACACAATTTCGAAATTCACTCTCTCTCTCTCTCTCTCTCAGTCCGGTCTGCTACAGTCTCACAGAAGGTTTCTTTGGAGACTCTTCAACTTTGCTGGTTGCAGATTCTCGCCCAAGACTCTGTTGTATCTTGGTAACGAATTTGCCTGTAACCCAACAGCAAACTCAGTGAAACTGAGTGGGGGCAAATAACGTTTTAAAAACAGTGTCTTCAGACGCGCCTCAGAGCTTCTCTTCCAAAGTTACAGTGACCCCATTTTCTCCAACAGTTAAAAATATAAAATAAGGCTCAACTTAGAAGGAATACAAATACAAAAATGTAGAGTGCAAAACTTTATATTTTATGTGTACTTATATTGTATATATTTGTAATCTTTTCAAACCGAAAGACTCAGTTTGGAGGGAATACAAATACAAATATGTACAATATAAATATATGCAAAATATAATACAAAATACAAGGTTTTGCATTCTATATATTTGCATTTATACTCCTCCCAAATTGAGCTTTTAGGGTCAATTTAAAAGAAATACAAATACAAACTTTATTTTCACTGTACATATTTATTTTTATACTCTTTCCAAACTGAGCGTAAAAGAGACGAAAGTCCCAAAAGTATTTGGATATGATCTACCGCACGGTCTCAACAGCCATTGCAGCCATACATCGTGAACTGTTGGGACCAGATCCGGACTCGTCCCCGATTGTCCCGAGTTATTGTGGCCTCAAACTCCAGCTTTTGCCATGTGACATACGGTCTCGTTGCAGAGGATCAAAGGTTACAGACCCGGACAAAAAACAGTACAATTTAGTTCCCTCTTTCCCTCGCTAAATTCTCCGTTGAATCATAGGCTTTTCAGAAGCTTTTAGGTATAGTGAAAATAAGGTGTGTGACACGGACACCCGGCCCCCAAGCTTGGTTTCCGATGTGTCAGGTCGGAGCCCGGTCGGAAAACTGCCCAACCTCAACGTAACCATGATTTAGACCATGTCGGCCCTGATTGATGCTAAGTCCTAACCGCGTCACAAACAGAACATACTTAGCTGGATGATGAGTCTCTCAATAAAAATTAGGTCCTGTTGTGTCTGGTGGGTCTGCCCTGGCTGGGCTGGTGTGGAATAAACCAGTCCTATTTCAGAAGTCAGAACCTTATTCCCTAACCCACTTTTGCTTCAGGGAGAGTAAAGGGATATGATTGTCAATTAGATCCCAATCTGACCACCAATATCCAACCATCTAATATGATTAATCCTACGTAGAATCGTCAACATTTTCTTTAGAAAAGAAAATAGGAGAATGGTTGGTTAACTGAGGACGAACTGTCACTATGAGACAATAGGTAGCACCGTTGTCAGATTCGAACCGGACATAAAACGGTTTTGGTCAGTGGGGTCATGGGTTTAATGGTCCAAACCCTCAGTACGGTTGTGATTCGTTCAAATAAAATAAATAATATTTTGTAGATATTCTTTTAAGTTGTAAATCTTTTTTTACTTCCAAATAAAGCCAATATTACATAATTTTGCCTGCTAGTTCCAGTCAAACCGGTCCAAAAATCCGGTTCGACCTGAATCTCACATTGGCATGGATCATGGATGGACAATGCTAACTGAGTGACCCACGGGCCACGGTGCGGCGTACAGTTTTCACTGTTTGATCATGTGGTTAACGGTCAACACTGATGTGAGATGTTGACTGTAAATTTCAATGACCTGATGATAAATTTAAGACTTGAGATGAAATCAAGTGCTTCGGGATTCCCGAAAATTAATTGCTCGACATGTTTTATCTTGATCAAAAGGTACCTTCATCAGACGTCCCAGATCAATATGCATGTGATCACATATTTACATTTATGTGCCCTCTGCTCCTCATAAAGAGCCTCAGTTATTGCGCCACCAAATCAGAAGCACCTTCCAGCATCACGCACCGTTTATTACAAGATCAACGGCGTTCCGGTGAAAGGTACTGAGGTACAGCTTGAGTAATTTCACAAGAAGTAAAAACTGTAAAATTGATTTTAATAGGGGTATTATTGTAATTTAGGAAAATAGTGTTGCCGTGCCATTGGAGGATAAGTGCTACGTAGTAGAATAGCAAAACCAAAGACGACAAATCCTCCTCACGGAAATTGTACTGAAACGGACTACGGAACATACCGACAATCACGCCCCCGGGTCCCCCACCCCCCAACTTTTCCACACACTCTCTCTCACTCTCCAATTTATCCTCTTCTTCTGCATCCAGCCGTCCACTCTTATTGAATTACAACCGTCGGATTGAACCATAGAAGTGGAAGCAACCATTTGAGTCGTTTAATTTTTACTAAATAAAAAAAATATTTTCTCGCTCTAAGTGTACCTGCCAAGTACACCTATCTGTACCTCCATCCTCATGAGCTTTTTCTATTATTTTTAATTCATTATATTAATATTTAAATTCTCTACATGCTCACCACGCCCCCCTCAGTCCCTCCCATCTATTTCTAACACCTCCCTCACTACCCTCCTTCCCTCCCTCATCCTTTCTTCTTCGCTCTATCTCGCTCTCTCGCTCTCTCGCTTGAATCTCGCTCTCTTGTTAGTTTTTTATCAATGAAGCAATTCATCCGTCGCCTTTCCCGAGTTGCCGATTCGTCCCAGTACTGCCTTCTTCGGTCCGGCTCCCGCGCTGGAGTCTCGTCGAGAGCCCGTCGGTCCGAATCCTTCAGAAAACCCTCCAAAGACCGCCGATCCGGAGTCCCCGAAGGTCATCTTCCCGTTTACGTTGGAGAAGAGATGGAGAGGTTTATCGTCAGTGCCGAGTTCTTAAACCACCCGATCTTTGTCTTGCTTTTGAAGAAATCGGCCCAGGAGTACGGGTACGAACAGAAGGGCGTGTTGAGGATTCCCTGCCACGTATTCGTCTTCGAACGGGTTCTTGAAGCGTTGCGTGTTGGAGATAATGCAAGAGATCTAGAAGAACTTGTGCACTCGTTATCTGATGATTTCCTCTAGTTTCCGCCCTTCTCTCTCTTACTCCTCTGTTTTGGTCTCTTCTTTCGATTTTTATCTGATTTTGTGAGATCTGATTAGAATATACTAGATCTTCTTGTATATACTCTGCGGCAGAAAACGAGAAAATTAAAGAAACAAAGTTAGGGTTTTTACCGAAGCTGTTTCATGGTTGGTGGTAGAGTCTTGTAAAGATCAGATTCTAATGAAACAGAAATGGAGATTGACTCGTGTGCCCTAATCTCTCTTTTGGTTCTTTATTTCTTGCTTCAGGTTTCATGCCGGGATCCGTTGAAAATTGCCGGAGCAAGGATTTCCGAGTTAGTTCTCCGGCGCCTTGGAATGTGTTCTTTGCGTCTTTTCCTTTACCGTTTTTTTGTGCATATAACGTCAAGAAGCTCGAACAAGCTGTTTGGCGAATTACATTAGTAGCCTTTGGCTTGGGGAAAGTTTGTCAGTTAAAGAAAAGAAAAAGAGTATCGGAGAAGGGCTTATGTCCAAATGTCCTCATGGGGGTTAGATACTGTAATTTGCGGGATTTTCAGGGCTATTTCAGAAGCTATGACTGTTAAATTAATTTTCAAAATTTGGGGACAGGATGGTCATTTCGACGAGTTAGCCGATGATATTTTGGTGGTTGGGAAGATCTGAATTCGATCATACGTGGTTGTGCCGTTGTGGTTCAACTGAGATTTTTCCTTGCGTCGGGGCAATTTCAGGGGTACAACTGTCGAACTAGATTCCCATCGGAAGGTAGGAACGAATACTGACGTTCGGTAACTGGAGCAATACATTTTTTGGACCAAAATGCCCTTGCCTCCAACCGATCCAACTATCCTAACGCCTTCGGGTTATATAATAAACACCATGTGCGGATTAGCATTAATGAAAAGAACAAATGCGCAAGATAGTGGCATTTACGTTATTTTCTTTTAAGCGAGTGAACAATATGGTCTTTCTTCCTTTTTCTTCGCCTTTTTTTTGTTTTTTTTTTTTTTTTTTCTGGAGAATTTCTTTTCGAAGCTAAACATGCGCCTCGTTCGGCAGGTTACATGCCTAGCTAAAATGATTACAGGAAAACCTATCGCTCAGCCTCACCATTTCTCTTTATTTAGGGTCCGTTTGGTTCCTAGTTGGAATTGAAATGAAAATAAATTTTAATTTATATAGTATAAATATATGTAAAATAATACAAAATATAAGATTTTGTATTCTACAAATGTAGTGTATTCCTTTCAAACTGAACTAAGGAAAAGATAAGAGAATAGCCATTTTTTCAAATAGGGATATATCATTCCAGCAGAAATGAGAATGAGATTTTGATTCTATCCAATTAAACAGTTGGAATTAGAATAACCCATTCGATTCCAATTTCAGACCTTTATTTCCAAGACCAAAACGTGGCCTTATTTTTATTTCTATTAATTATTTATTTTTTATTATATTTATTTATTTAGTAAAAGTGAATCGTGTGAACGCTCACCTGTTTGTCACTCTGAGTCTCTGACTAGTTGGCTTGAAAATTGGGGAATTAGAAAATAAAAATTTGTTTCGCTTTCAAATTTCTCTATTTATTTTCTGTTTTTTTGTTAACTGTCCTTTGACATTTTGGATTTTAGTTTGAGCCTACTTCACGTTAGAACCGAACCTTACTAGTTACTGCAAAAAGAAGAGGTCTTCGGCTTTCTCTCACCAACTCTGCTTTGAGCAGCTGCTTCTTGTCTAAACTATAAGGTTAGGTAAGGTTTAGGTATGTATTACGTTTTCAAGGACTAACCATGGTTTAACCGGTTAAATGGCCGGTTAGATCGTTCATCCCATAAGAACAGACCAGGAAAGCTAACCGGGTCACCAAGTCATCGGTTCAATGGTCCGGTCTGCGGTCAAAACAGAGTCTGACAATTTAAATGAAATAACATTATTAAATGTGGATAGAGAGACCCGTGTGAATTACGATTGTGAGTCTAGTCAGCTTGACGTTCAATTATACCTCACTGATTAGGTAGTCAATGTTACGAAAAGTAAATTCAACTTGAGCTAATCTACACTATTGACCGATATCATCATCTTCAATTAATTCTCATTTCTCAACCAATATATAGTTGCTGAGATGTGGACTGATATAACCAACTCAGCTAGAACTTGTACGGAACTTGTTATCATCTTCAAAAGTAATTACCAACCCAATTTAATCCATGCTTCTTACAATGATTTGGTAGATGGTATATTTGTCATTTAACTATATTCATTCGATTGGGTGTGGTCCAGTGGTCCTGACCCGATTTATCATCGGGTCTCAGAAACAGACCAAGATCCGAGCCTTGGGCCTGTAAGAAACCATTGATTAATAGAGTTAGATCAGACCGGACCCGTTCCGTCGAATAGACCTGTGAAATTGACAGGCCTTTGGCTACAAGAAAATAACAAAAGAAAAAACAAGAGCTAAAGAAAGAGAAAGAAGAGAGACTTAAGAAAGTTGGTGGGTCGGGTAAGGAGTTCCTGTCAGAACTTGTAATGCATCTTGATGTGGAGTTTCTCATTTTACTATGTGGCGATTGATATTCGTTTGGGACGAGGTTAAGGGGTAAGAAACAAGAAATGAATGCTAAGAAATAGTAGGAGAATCGTCTTTTTCCTTGGATTATTTGTTGGTATATGACAACTTGCAAGAAAGATAGTTGCATGGTAATGTTCTCAACCAAAAGAGACTAGTAGTGAATGATACATAAATTATTTGGTTAATAATATATTAATAAATAATTAATGAAATATTTATTAACTAAAGTAATAAAATATTAGCTTGATTAAGGAATCTATGAGTGACATTTGGTCCTATATGGCAGCAACAACTCATGGTAAAGAATCGATACGTAGACATTCATATTGAGATAAGCCAAGAAATGTGGGTTTATAATAACAATCTTTTTTTTAAAGAATTTCTTTTTCTTCAAGAGTGGATCGATCTCTCAAGAAGAAGAACAATAATGAAGTAATTAAATTTCTTTTTATGATAATGAGCTGGTTAACAGACTCACAGTTTCTAATTAACCAGAAAAAAATTCTCTAGGAGTACATTTACACCAAAGCAGATATTAATAATAAAACATGTGATTGGACATTAGAAGTTATAAGCTCATAAACATTGGAGATGAGTGTGAATTGAATATATAGTGATGTCATGTTCTCCACTTTTAGCATGTTTTATGCTCACAGTGAGAAAGCCACTACAAAATAGAGATAAATAAAGATATTATCTAAAACTTCCATGCATTGACATCAGTAACAATATCTACAACTTCTCCCATTCTGGTGTTGCCTGTTTGGGAGGGCTACTGTAGCAGCTTCTAGCTTCCTGAGGTGGGCTCTACATCAACTGCTTATGATATAAGCTATGTTTGGGGAAAAATCTGGAGAGCCCAAATCGACTGTTGGTCTGCCATTTGAAAGGTCATCTACTTCAGCCTGTCTCAAGTGCTTCAAAGAAACTGAATCAGCATATTGCATAGCTGAATCTTCGGCTCTGCCTTCTCAAATGGGCCCTAAATACCACCCAAAACCCTTTATCAAATAATCATCACCATCATCATCATCATCCAGGCCTTATCCCAATTCCCAACTTCGTGGAGTTCATTACATGAGTCCTGTTTTGCCATTTGTTCTATTTAATTCCATATCTATTATTAAATTATTGGCACTTAGATAATTTCTTACCACTTCAACCGATGTCCTTCTTGGTCTATCCCTAGCACTTCTAGCCCTTTCAATTTGCAATAAATAACCTTTTCTAATCAATGTTGTTGATGATCTTTTGTGCAAGTGATCAAATCATGTTAATCTACTTTCTCTCATTTTATCACCTATTAGATCTGTTCGGAATTATGGGGTACGGAAACTTGGAAGAGAAGCTCTGAGGCATGCCTAAAGACATTGTCCTTAGAATGTTACTTCCCTCTACTCAGATTTATCAAATTGGTTCCTAGGATACAACATAGCCTCGGTCGAGAGTCTGCAACCAACAAAGTTGAAGAGACTCCGAAGAAACCATCTATGAGACAATAGCAGATCGAACAGAGAGAGACAAGAGTGATTTTCGAAAAGCTTTTGTGTGTATTTGCTTGATTCACGCTCCTTAAATAATTTTCTAAAGAGTCATGGAGCAGAGGAAGGTGCTAGTTCAGAAAAAGGCTCATTGAACAGTCACAATTTCAAGCATTGTGATTGTTAAAAATGTAGTTAACAGTTAATGATTGTTAAATTTGAATAGCGCCTCTTGATTACACTTGATAGAATCATAATCGTTGAAACAATAATGGTTAACCTCGCATCAAAAGTCAAAGCCGCCCTTTGCAAGCCACGCGGGTGCATGCGAAGTGCACCTATAAAGCGTCTCATTGCCGCACACATGCACGAACATGTTAAGTAGTTATGCCCTTAGCTCTAGTCGGATTGATGTATCTTTTGACATTTATTATAAATGAATAAAGTATATAATTGATTCATGTCATTGTGGTGTGTTTTTGTGTAATACGCTTAAACTGGACACTTACAAGACTTGTGTTGGTTTAGAATCTTCATAGCCGTTGGATAGATCTGGGGAGATTTATCCTACCAAGGCTGACACTGATGTACTGCCAAGTTGGTTAGGCTGGCTTGAACTATGTGGAGGAAGTTAAGGAGGTTTTGAACTATGTGGAGGCCAGTCAAGAAGGGTTCAAGCCAAGACAAGGTAATGCTCATTATATTATGTTGTCGATTTCTAATAAGAGACTGTTGTCGATTTCTCTGGAATAGGAACCTGCCCATGATGGATGGAAGGGGAGCACACCGAAAGCTGAAACCACAAGAGTTAGAGGATCCAATTCACGATAGGGAAGTTTGTTTTTCCTTTTTCTTTTTGTTTTTACATTTCTAGTTTAGTTTTTTTGCCCTTTCTTTTCATTTAATCTCACATTGGGGACAATGTAAGTTTTAAGTGTGGGGGAGGGGATTTGGGATTTAGGTTGTGTTTTAAAATTTAATTTAAGTCGTGTTTTTCTGCAAAAAAAAAAAAGAAAAAAATTAAAACCTCAACTCTTTTGAAATCAATTGAAATAATGTTCTAGGAAAACTCTTGTGAACCTAGTAATGGAATATGATCAGGGAGTACACCATTCATCTAAAGCCATCCCTTTTAAGCTAGTCCTAAATTCAAGTTTAAGTAAATATGGTAAATATTTTACCAAGCAATTCAATTGGTAGGACGGAG